AATACCATAAACATATTTCATCCAGTTTTTCTCAGTCTTACCCCCACCCCAATGCCAGCCTCATTCTACAACAGTGGCACCATATAGCATTTGTCCCTTTTGTGACTGAGATACCTCACTCAGCATAATGTTCTCCAGGGTCACCCATTTTGAATAATATTGCATGAGTTCCTTGTTCTTCAATGCAGCAAAGTATTCCATTGTACACATTGTTTTTCACACCAAATCTTTCTCCACTTTCCTTTTCTCACCCCTCTCTCTACCCATCAAATTGTCTGACCCTATAATTAAGCCTTCCCCTGCCCCTCCTTGGATCCTCATACCCGTTCTCCAATAATGGTCTTATACAGTGCTTGTTTTTATGAGACTGAGTTAGTTTTCTTTTAGCATAATGCTCTTCAGTCCCTCCCATGTTAGGGAGTAATTTACAAACTCATTGCACCTGCATGCTGCATAGTATTCCATTATGTGAATGTACCATAGCTTAATCCTTCACTGAATTTTCAAGGTCATTCACTGGAATAAAGAAAACAGTAACCAGGTTATCCTTTCCCTCCTGGATATATATCTTTTAGGTCCATTTTCCTCAAGAACTTCTATGGGACTTAATAAATACTTGCTTGAAAAAAGTATCAAATGAAATAAATCCACACTCAAAAGACAGATTGCAAGGGAGCTCTGGTGGCCTAGTGGCAAGAAATTGTGCTGCAATCCCAAAGGTGCCTGGTTCAAACCCACCAGATTCTCTGCTGGAGAAGGAGGAGAAATCTCCTTCCGTACCAGTTGGATGCTACTCAATGGTACACAACAAGGGGGGGGGGGGAGAAGATGGACTACAAAAGTTTTTCCTAGCTGAGCCTCATTTTCTTTTCCTTCATATATCCCAGAGGATATAAACACTTGCTTGAAGAAGTACACAGCAGTTTAGAAGAACTTCACAGAGATTAAAGAGCTGTTTTTTACACACTGCACAAGATGTTTATCATATATAGCTCATACATTGTTATTTGATAACACATCCAGGTACAACAGTGTAATATCTTCTATTAGCATACATCAGCAATGATTAAGGCACTGCCTCCCCTGTCCTTCCACAGTACATAATTTCAGCTAGCTTTAAATTCCACAGAGTTATTTAAATTTCAAATATACTTACAACCACAAGGAACCCTTTGCAGAATGCAAAATGCCTTTGAAGTTTTTCAGCTTTATTATATGTGCTGAAGTAAAACTCAATATTAAAAAAAAGAGACAGAAAAGTTGAAAACCCATTTTATAGTTGATATATAATATCCATGTCCCTTTAATCAGTCAAGAATTTTGTATTCCTAATAAAGGCACTTGGCCATAATTGTGATCACTATTCCTCATGGGAAACAAATGTAGCATGATACTATGTGCTATTTCCATGCTTTCTATTTACAATCTATTGCATTTGGCAGCAATGAGAATAATAAAGATTCATAAGAAGTTTGGCACTGGTTGGATAATTATGAAAATCTTACATTCTAAGTAATTGTTGAATAGAAATGACTTACTTCAGAATTCTTTAAATGATCAGTATAGATGGCACCAGCTGGGTGTTTAAACACTGATGTTGGAGTCAGTCACAGCTGGACTGAAAGACAGAGGAGCGAGCTCACTTACAGCAAATTAGCTCATGGCATCCCAGCATAGGATGACGATGACAGTCAGTATTTTGCTGTCATTGCTTTAATTTAACGTTGTCCTATTATATTGTTCCCCATCCCCTTAAAAAACCTCCAAGCAGATACTCTTGGAAAGGTTTCAACTAGAAAATCATTAATATCCTAATATAAACAAATTGAAAAGAAGCTGATTACTGATTGTAAAACTGGACACAATTCCTCATTCTCTGTATCTACACTCCATCTACATCTTTTCCCATCCAGTGGTGGAGTCAAGATCCTGTTGGATCTTCTACCATGCAGCCTCAACTGATGTTTGTGAAGATCAAAGATAGAGAGGATGAGGGAGCAGTCCTGATGATGCATGGAAACCCTCCACTGTATCACGGTCCCAATTCACTGGACACACACCCAGTTCACTGGGCCCCACACCCACCTTCTCCACAGCAGTCAATGAGGTCTGAGCTCAGTCTACCCTCTCGGGTCTGTGAAAGGATCTTATTCATCCTCTTACGAATTAGACCCTTACCAAGGGTACCCACAATACAGCTGGTGGGGTGGCCCTCAGGAGCCTCCTAAAATCACAGTGTACGTGGTAGAAGACCAAAGAAGGTAGGATCTGAGCTTAGCTACTTGCCTCACAGCCTGTTAAACTGTTCTGTGTGGCTGTCCCTGGGGCATGCTCACCTGACCACAACAAACTGTCCGGTCCTGTCAGTGCCATGGCCACCCTCTAGGAAGTGTGTCTGTGCCCATCTCTTGCCCACACATTTCTGCCTCCAACCCAATGGGATTCCAGATTAGCAGGAGATGATCCTGTTTTGTTAAAAGTGACTTGATTTCTTTTTTTAAAAAATTTTAATTTTATTATTTTTAACGACATTTACAGAGATTTTGGATTTCCATTCATTCATTGTTGCACTTTTCTCCCTGCCCAGCCCTCTCCCCAGTTCACTTCTCTCTTTGAAAAGTAAAAGAAAAATACTTTCATTGGTATACAATCCCCCTGCACCCCACCTCCCACAGCCCCAAGTACACGCCACTAGAATCCAGATGATATTTGTCTTTAATGGTTGCACTAAATGACTTTTGTTTATCCCAAATGTTCATGAAATATGTATAATTTAAACAATTATTCCACCAGGGTAATGGCAAGATGTAACATGATACTGGATTATGTCTTTGCTGGCAGTCTGTATGAGGAGTTCTGGTGGCGTAGTGGTAAGAAGCTGTGCTGCATACTAAAAGGCACACAGTTTGAATCTACTATCTGCTCCTTGGGAGAAAGATGAGTAATGGCTTCCTATGCAATCAATTGCCTCTGAAAACATGCTGGAGGGTCAGTTGGTTCCAACTCAATGGCATGCAACAACAACAACAACAAAGCACCCTGTATTTAAAGAAATTAGTTCAAACCTTCCCTCTTTAAAAATAAATAAATAAGGTGGTTGAGTCTGTTTCCTTACTCCTTAAATTTGGGTTTGGCCAATAGGCTCTAAAAGAAGTGAAGGTGTACTAGTTCCAAAGGCATTGTATTCCTTATTTTCTTGACAATTTACTGGGAACAAGTCCAGGCTGGTCTATTGCATGATGAAAGACAGGCAACACAATCGACCCTATCTGATAGTAGTTAGGGTCTACCTATTACCTGCCAACGGCCACTATGAAGGTGAGGCTGGCTGGCTGCTCTAGCCCAGCTGACATGCCAACTGAATCTATAAAATCACTCAGCTGACCAACTCCCTCATAAGCAATATAAATGTTTATACTTTTAAACCACCAAGCTTTGGGATGATTTGTTACATGGCAAGACATAACAGATGAGATCTGAGTAAGGAAAATGAGAAAATGGGGTAGGGATGCTGTGCAGTATTTATCAAGAGGAAAACTGGGGTGGGTACAAAAAAGAAAGATCTTTTCCTTATATTTTGTTCTATAGGTGAGATATTATTTTAAGAGGCAGACAGTAAGCACTGTTCCAAAAGTCTGGAGACCTGCCTCTGTCACTTACTCATCATAAGTCACCCTGGGAATGCACTTCCTCTCTGACTTCCAGTTTTATCAATTTTAATAGGAAGCCAACACTTAAAGAGTTTGGGGGAGGCCTAAATGAGTAAGACAATGTATACGGAAAGCACTGTAAAAAAACAGTAATGATCTAAAGTGAGAAGCTAAAGAGGTTTTAAGAAATAATAATAAAGTTATCTCTCTGCATTTTATCTTTGTCTGTATCTAAAATGTCCAAGCAATCAGTCAAATAGCTTCTGTTTTTTTAAAAACTGTCACCCTGCGGCTTGGCAGACACAGTAAATGAATGAGTTCACTGTTTCCCAAGTCTGGTTTTTCCATGAAGATGGAAGGATATCTTATAAATAAACAACAACAAAAATGTGCTATTGAGTCAACTGTGACTCAGGGAGGCTCCGTAGACGTCAGAGGAGCACTGTGCACTTAGTAGGGCTTTCAATGGTTGACTTTTATTTATTTATTTATTTAAAAGTAGATCATTAGGGTTTTGAGTTTTTTTCCCCCCTCAAAGCATCTTAGGGTAGACTCAAACTTCCAACCTTTTGATTAGCAGTCAAGTGTGTACCACCCACACGTACCAAATTAATGATATATTATTCTAAACCTTCATTTTGCTTTTGATAATGGTTTTCAAAACCAATGAATCTGATATAGGGATAGCGGTTGTTGTTAGGTGGTGTCTTGTTGACAATGATTCACAGGGACTCTATGAACTTTAATGTGTCTTTGTCATGATCTCCATCCTCCTCAAGCCCATTGCTAGTCGCTGTGTCCATCCATGGCTTGAGGGTTCCCTCTCTTTCACTGACTCTCCACC